GTGTTAATGCTCTTGCAGCAATGAATGCAAACCCTCATATTTATACAAGGCATTTCACATTGTCATACAAGATTGAACTCGAAAATCGAATGGGTAAAATCTTTTTTTAATTGTGAATTTAATCAAAAAGAGTATTTTGTTTGCCAGTGTTAATAGAACATTGGAAAAAGTGTAGATTTAGTACTATTTTAGGTGCCTTGACCCCACATGATATGTAAATTAACACAATAGAAAACAGGTCGAAGATCATTAGCTCAAGTTCTATACATAGTGATGTGCATATTCAATTTTCATTTTAATAGCCGGACAATAACAATGGAAATGGGTTAAACGTGATAGACGCCGGTGACGAATCTAAGAGAACGAGTTTGCAAACGCGAGAATCGTTTTGAAATTTCGCAAGGCGCCGTTTTTTCCCCGAGACGCGTGCCAACTGTAACGAGCCGCTCGTCCCAAATTCGCGTCCCTCTTTAAAATATGTTAAATTATTCAAGGAATCCGCCGCTGGCGGCGTCTAGTTTATTCTACGTGTACGAGTACACAGATGCTGTTATGCTTCTATCGAGGACTATCGGTGAAATAATGCTCCCGCGACTGCCATGTCGGAATTATGTTTCTTGGTCAAGTTTACGTAGCACTTGAAACGATCGCCGGCGAATGAATAAAACATTCGTGCCACCGTTTATACCAGCGGTTCCCAAACTACGACCGACGGTATCAGATCCTCCGCGATTTTCAATTTTCAGAATTTCTCTCAATTTCTACAATTTTACAAAAAAATAAATAAATTCGCTACATTCAATTTTGACTATTATACAAGAATTTGAAATTGAAAACTCGCCTAATCTTGAATATTAGTAATAAAAAATGCTGAACCATCAGCTGTTTTTCAGTCGAAGAAATATTAAAAAATTATACCGAATTTTTCTGTTAGGAGAATTTTTAACAAATGCTTTCCTTCATTTAGAATCACTTATAAGGAATGGTTCACCAGATATTCCTCCACCAGATTACCTCGATCTTCGTTGTTATTATTATACAATACATAGCAAAGGATGGTTATATACAGGGTGTCATTGCTTATACACAGGAGGTCGGAAGTAGTACCAACTGTTGAAAACGAAAAATTATATTAACAAAATTACAAAACACAATAAGGGTAAAGATTCATTTTCATTACCTATATTATTAAATAATCGAACACCCTAGATATCTCCTTAATTAATGGTTTTTGTACAGTAATAGTTTAGTACTCTTTTGTAGAGAATATAAAGCTTCATTGGTGGGTGCAGGAAAGATTACACAATCCCATTTAGAAAAATGTCGATGACCTTCATATATTTACTACGCATCCACCTACGAAATAGCTGACAGCGCCAGAATGTGCTCTGGAAATCGTTCAACATTATATATAAACAGTCTTTGCTATGTATAATAATAACAACAACGAAAAACGAATCACCCTATATATGTGAGAAAACTTTTCCAATCGTGATTATTAATAAATTCAAATTGAGATTGAAATTAATTGGTGGACATTTACACACAATGCTTAAAATACATTCAATCTACTTAGAACCAAGGCTTCATGATATTATTAAAACAAAACAATAACTGCACAAGTCACACACTTCAGATTGATGAATTCACTATTTTCTTTTTTTATTTGACATTATTTAGTCATTTCTGTTTAATTATTTTTGAAACGTTATAATAAAACGTTTATAATATAAGATAATTATTGCCATAAATAAAGAATGATCATATTATAAAATTAGTATTGTGTGCGTTATGTTCCCTTGTGTTTAACTTTTTTCTTCATCACTCTTTTATTCTTCATTAACACTTTTCTTGATACGTCAAATAAATATTTGCATAAATATTTCTAAAATTAGAATATACATATAATTTAGGATACATGAACAAAACTTTGGGAACCACTGGTTTACAGTCACGTTTATTTGTGTTCTATGTGTTGTAACCATAAAATCAATTAACACAATTCTGTTTCTATAAACGCATGTATAATGCATAATACAGTTACGTAGTGTTTAATATCTGTATGTAACATGATATGTAACACAAGGACGTAATACAATACGTAATGCATGTGTAATACAATTGTTGGAAGACTTTAGTGAACCAAATAAAGGTAACTAGCTTTCCCTTGTTATGAAATAATCCTTTATTTATCTTTCAGGAAAACAATTGTGACATAATTATGTAGATATAACTAGATAATCTATGTAAATTAGAATAAGTAGAACAGGCATATCAAAATAATGGCGAAGCATGACTTTTATTATAAACAATATATTATTTAATTGTTTTAATTCAAGAATTATAAAAAATAATAATACACAGAATATAAACATTAAAAAA